GAGATAGACTTCCCTCAAAGCAGACAGAGAACCTGCCCTTAAAGCCAGCACCCTGAATTCAGACTTCTAGGCTTCTAAACTGTGAGAAAATAAATTGCTTTCATTAAAGCTATTTAATTGTGATATTTCTGTTATTGTTAAGGCCATTGAGTCGGTTCCGACTCATATTGACCCTGTTTAGAGTTTCTGAGGAGAAGCTGGTGAGTTTGAACCACTGACCTCGCGATTCAAACTCCCTTGCAGTTCAGTGCTTATCCTACAGCACCACACCGGGACACCTTTTCTGTTATAGCAGCACGAGATAACTAAGAAGTCTTTTAGAAAGCCTTTTGTAATTATTGTTAGGTTCCTTTGAGTCAGTTCTGCCTCACAGCAACCCCGTGTACTACAGAATAAACTGCTGCTGGTTCCCGTGCCCTTCCTCACAATTGTTGCTGCGTTTGAAGCCATTGCAGCTGTTTGAGGGGAGAAAAGAACCCCTATCTTTGCATATGTAAATATTATAGAGATTCTTTATTAAGTCTTAAACAGGAATAAGAACAAGACAGGACAGCAGAGATCACTGGGTAAAGGAAATCACACGCCATGATGAATTTCCAAAGTTCTACTTCCTACCTTACAAGGTAACCTTTTATAAGTCACAGAGAACAAAGGAATCTCCTTCCACAACCAGCAGTGTGTCAGACAGGCATAGCTGGGTCTATGGAATCAGAGAGGGAGCTGTTGCAGATCAGAAAGCTTACAGACTGTCTTTGTGTCCCTAGGGGTAATTACTAAGGGGAGGAAGTGGCCCCCAAACCACTTTCAAATATACTCTTCTAACTCTGGCATTGTGGCTGTTATGAAGTGCTTTGAGGTACTCAAGAAAAATTGGCATCTGGACACTTAGACCTAGGCACAAGATAGAATTAAACTCTACCTGACGTGAGGTGTTCACAGGCAAAAAGTCTTCAGATTTCATGCTGTACAGCACATTGAGAGTCTTTCTCTTTTTCTCTGACCCTCTGCTTTACCAACCATGATGTCCGGCTTCAAGGACTAGTCTCTTCTGATAACATGCCCAATGCATGTGAGATTAAGTCTCCAAGACACATTTTTGCTGTACTTCTTCCATGATAGATTTAAAAAATTCTTTTGGCAGTCTATAATTTGCTTCACCAATACCACAATTCAAAGCCATCAATTTTACTTCACTCTTTCTTATTCATTGCCTAGCTTTCACATACATAGGCGATTAAAAGTACCATAACTTGGTTTACCTTAGTCCTCAAAGTTATGTCGTTGCTTTTTAGTACTTTGAAGGGTTCTTTTGTAGCTGATTTGCCTGATGTAATACGTTCTTCGATTTCTTAACTGCACCTTCCATGAGCATTGATTGTGAATCCAAGTAAAATGAAATGCTTGACAACTTCAGTATTTTATTCAATTCATGATTTTCCTTATTGGTCCAACTGAGAGGATTTTGTTTTCTTTCTGCTTCCACACTGAAGGCCTTCTTTGATCTTTAAATGCTTCAAGTCCTCTTCACTTTTAGCAAGCAAGACTGTGTTATTTACGTATTGCAGCTTGTTAATGAGTCTTCCTCCAATCTTGATGCTGCTTTCTTTATATAGTCCAACTTCTTGAATTATTTGCTCAGCATGAATAAGTATAGTAAAATGATGCAACCCTGATACCCCTTTTCTGATTCTTAAACCATTCAGTATCCCCTTGTTCTGTTTGAATGATTACTTCTCGGCCTGTGAGTAGGTTCTACATGAGCACAATTAAATGTTCTGGAGTCCCGATTCTTTGCAGCATTATCTATAATTTGAAATCCACACAGTCAGATGGCTTTGCAGAGTCAGTGAAACACAGGTAAACATCTTCCTGGTATTCTCTACATTCAGCCAGATGCAGCGCATGTCAGCAGTATCCCTTATTTCACATCTTCTGATTCCGACTTGAATTTCTGGCAGTTCCCTATTGATGTGCTGCTGCAGTCTTTGTTGAACTTTATAAAGTAAAATTTTACTTGCATGTGATATTAATGACATTATTTGATAGTTTCTACATTCTCTTGGATCACCTTTCTGTGGAACGGGCACAAAGAGGGACCTCTCCCAGTTGGCTGACCAGGTATTTGTCTTCCAAATTTCTTGGCACAGACTAGTGAGGCTTTCAGCATTGCATCCATTTATTGTAACATTTCAATTGGTATTCTGTCCATTTCTGGAGTAATGTATTTCACCAGTGCTTTCAGTGCAGCTTGCACTTTCAAGACCTTCAGTTCTTGATCATATGCTACCTCCTGAAATGGTTGAATGTTGACCATTTTGTTACACAGTGAGTGTGTAACATTCCTTCCGTCTTCTTTTGATGCTTCCTGTATCCCTCGAATTTTGCTCATAGAGTCCGTCAGTATTGTAAGTGGAGGCTTGCCTTTTTTCGTCACTTCTTTCAGCTTGAGTAATGCTGCGTGCATTTCCTTTTTGGTTTTCTTACACATTTCTGTACTTTGTATTCTAGATCCACCCTTTGTAATCTTCTGTTTAGCTCTTTTTGTGGTACCATTTCTTTAATTTTCTTTTACTATCATAATTTCAAGAGCTAGTTTCAGAGTCATTTTGGCCTTTAAAAGTTTTTTTTTATCCCTATCTTTTTAATGATATTTTGCTTTCTCCATGTGTGATGTCTTTGATGTCATCCCACAACTCATCTGGTCTTCAGTCATTAGTGTTTATGGATCAAATCTATGTTTAAGGTGATCTCTAAATTCAGGTAGCATATATTGAAGGTTGTATTTTGCTCTCATGGACTTAGTTTAGTTTTCTTTAGATTCACCTTGAGTGTGCATTTGAGTAGTTGATGATCTGTTCTGCAGTCAGCCCCTAGTCCTTGTTCTCACTGATGGTATTCATCAGTCTTCTCCATTGTTTCTTTCAACAGATGTCTATTTTGTTCCTCTGTATTCTCCCTGGTGGGGTATATGTGTATAGTCACCATTTCTTTTGTTGAAAAAAGTTATTTGCGATAAATAAATCCTTGATTGATATTCCAAAATTCTGTCATGTCATTTCCTGTGCTGTTTCTATCCCCAAGACCATATTTTCCCAACTCTTGATCCTTTTTCTTTGTTGCCAACTTCCACATTCTAATCACCAGTAATTATGAATGAATCTTGATTGCATATCTGTACAACTTCAGACTAAAGAAGTTGGTAAAAATCTTTAATTCTTCCTTTTTTGTCATTGGAGGTTGGTATGTAAATTTGAATCATAGTCATATTAACTGATCTTCCTTATGAACATATAGATATTTTCCTTTCATTTTCTATGTTGTGCTTCAGGATATACCTTTGAAATGTCCTTTTTTTTTTTAAAGGTATTTATTGTGGATTGAGTCAAAGTTTACAGGGCAGATCATCAGTTTTACGTTCAACAAATCATACACCTTGTTTCATTACAAAGATTATAATCCCCTCCATGTACCATCAGATAACAGTGTTTCTCTCTATTTGCTTTAGCTTTTTTTTTTTTAAAA